AATAATGCTTGTTTCTCCTCTGTGCCAAAATAAAGTGACGGTTTTTAATGACAGTAATAATCATTTATAAAACAACCTGACATGCTTCGAAATGCCACAAGACGCTAGTATGGGATCTCTCCTCTTTGCTGGGAAATCATGCTCACACCTTGATGCAGGAGTATACTTTATCTTTAAAACATAGAAGGCTATGAAGTCTCGCAGCCGCAATGATTCTCAATGGAAGGGAATATCCGAGAGCGTAGAGGACTTGGGAAGATTCCTTTGCTTCTGATGTAATGACACCTTACGGCCTGCTTCATTAGGGAATGTCGGAGAAGGGGAGGGGGGGGGGGAATGCTCCGCTCACAAGTCACGAAAACCAAGAATCATGAAGCACCACCATAAACGGAGTACCAAGAAATTTGAAGAGGGAACACACCAAAGCAGCAAAAACAGAAGCCGATAAAAGTAATTAACCTCATAAACTTTATTTCAATTTCAAATTAAATGTATCCAAATAAAGTGAGAAAAATCGCATGCTGAGTATCATAAAATACGAAGGCCAAGTTTATCAAGAGCGTCTTCTGGCATCCCGTTTATATCTTTCCAATCTTTAAGGAGCCTTGTTCATAATTGGCTTATCAGTCCCTCATCCTTTTTCCAGCTCACTGGACTAATGTTTAACATTGTTTATCAAGTTAAACATACATTCGTACGATATAAAAAATAACGCAAACTGTGTTGACCTAGCTTACTTGATATGGTACTTGAGAAACGTTAGGTAAAAGCGGCGTCTGCATCCTAATGACGATAATCTCCTTAGCATCCGTTCTCCAGGCCCCGGTTGTTCGAAGATCGGATAACGCTATCCACTGGATAAATCTCTATCCGGTGAATAACGATATACGTTTTTCTATCACTTATCCGCTGGATAGCGATTTATTCGTTGGATGGCGTTATCCGCCCTTAACGCAACTGAGCCCAGGAAGTCACGCAACGTAAACACCGCGCCTGTTTTAAAGGAAGAATAATGCAACTTGCCGATGAACGGCCTCAAAGGAGAACGATAAAAATTTATACCTGAGAATACTTTACTCCAGCAACAAACTATGTTTTGTCAACGATCAGCGGTAATCACAATCATTATGTTTTCAGACATGCACATATCTTTAGGGGGTCAAATTTCCATTAGCAACTGTCCGAAACGGCAGTCTCGAGGCAGTCTTTCAGTTTCAAGACAGCCCTTTCTTTCAATTACTTCTCCGGGTTGTTAAAAAACTTAGTCAAATGAAAACATCAAAATCAATGAGTGTCAACCACGAACGACTATAACCTTGTAAACAAAAACAAAAAAAACTGAAATATTGATCTCGTCGGGATTTTACGAAGAGCGTGATATGATGCCTATCTATGACACTTGCGTGATATCACACCACCCCAAGGAAACAGCCTTGTGCGACAAAACGGTTGTTGAAACCGTTCGTTAAAAAAAAAAGAAAAAAAAAGGTACACAGCTTCAGTGAAAGGCTGGATTGCCCATGTCATTGACAATCTCTATATAGCAATAAATTTCTCTGCACTCCTGCAAAACATTACGTATACATGCTCTTTTCTGGTTCCTTCCCTGCTAAACTTGATAAACTTTTCTGGTGGTACTGATTAATAACTGCTATTATCCTGGTTCTGTGCTTGCTCAAAGAACATGAAATCCTATGAAGAGGGAAAATAACGGATTTCAGGAACAAAAATAGCAAGATATATAATTGAGTTACAGAGGTATACACAAACACTACATACATTCATTTTTAACTTGAAGAAAGGTAAGTTCTCTCATAAGTAGCATTGTTTTCATGAACCCTTTAATCCCTAACATCAGTATGCATCTTCTCCATACTACTCCTACACATTTCCTTGGGTTCTGACAAAGAGAATTTGTTCAACTATCAAGACCCTCTTTAGGTAGTGATCATCTCCTTTATTCTCATAACCTTACTGGGTAATTTTGTAAGGAGAAATTAGATGCTAGTCACACTTAGGGGTTAAACTGTAGCATCAGGAGAATCGTGTACAGTGGAAGCAGAAGAAAAATCTATTAGTTGAATAAAAATAGCTCAGGTAATCAGAATGTAGGTAGAGAATTTGGCACAGTAGCTGGAGAATTCTCCCACCTCCAATTCCTCATTCACAACTTCAAGCCAACATCCAAGTGATGTGTCTAATAACCTCTAGCATGGGGAAGTGGCTGGACATTGAGTCCTGCTGGGAACACTGCCCATGAGTAACTGGACATGAAATCATACTTGGGATCAAACCCATGAGTGGCCTAACACCAAGTTGTGTTGAGGACACAACTAAGGTGGCTGGAAACTGAGTCATGTGGAGAACACCACTGAGGTGGCTAGACACTGAGCCTAGCTTGGGGTACCAACCACAAGTGGTTGGACACTGAGTCATGCTGGGGACACCAACCACAAGTGGTGTTGTGTGACTAAGGACAAAATTAACATGTAATGTGTGAATTTTACAGTGAGGTGAGCAGGATTTGTGAATTTAAGAACCAGCCTGACATGTATTTGCCTCCAGAAATTTTCTCTTTCACACAAGATGAGAGATTTGAAGTTTTCCTCTCATAAACACAACGAATTAATTTTCCATAAATGTGTGTAAAACAAGATCAGGACCCCACTCCCCTTAGCTATCCTCTACTAGGTATAGTTCATACAGAAAGTGACCAGCAAGTGTACTTACAATGAGAAAACAAGCACCAAGTACAACAGCCTTCATTTTCACATCAAGGTCCATAGGAACTGCCAATTTAAAAAAAAAAATCCTTAATAAAATGCTAGCCACTAATCTATAAATAGACATAATCTGTTCTATGTACCTCTTTTGCCAAAAAGAAAAAAGATCACTTTTATTCATATAGAAATAAAACACGACATTCCTTTTCTGCCCTGTAACAGTCGAAACACAAAAGTAAAATAAAAGCACTTAACTTAGTGATGAAAAACTCTTATTTTCAAGGAAGCTTTAAAAAGCATCTAGAGATCAACCTATGGGCCCTTTCAAACACAATTAAATGAAAACCATTTCTTTCTTTTTCCTATATCTTAGATAATGAATTCCCTACCCTTTGATATACTGCTTCACCTGAAAATGTATCCCTAGGCTTTTTGGGAGGTGCATCTCATATAATCCATATAATAGGAAGTAAACAGAGTTGAAAGTGCCGAGCTGGGGGTGCACTACCATTGAGAGTCAAAACTGTGCAACCAAACCACTTTAACCCTGTAAACCCTAACATCAGTATGAATATTCTCTATAATGTTCCCTTCTCATCTCCTGAGGTGCTGACCGGGATAATTTGTTTAACAATCAAGAGCTTCTTTGGTTAGAGATCATTTCCTTTATTCTCTCATGACTTTCACGCGTGATTCAGGGGTGATAATGTAAGGAGAAAATTAGATGCCAGTCACTCTCAGGGGTTATAGGGTTAAGTTAACATGTGAGAGAGGAAGTCAGAGATCACTGCTGGCAGTAATTTCTCTCAAATAGTTAAGATAATAACTTACATGTGATACCAAAGTTGTCTGCGTCAGTAAACGCCTCCTTTACCAAACCAGTCCACTGTTTAGAAATTCTTCCAACCTGATTCTGGCCATCTGCAGAGAGCACCTGTTTCATTCACAAAGAAAACATAACATTACCAGTTAACACAAGTGATGAAGTATCATCAAGTATTCCTCAAGCAAAGAGGTCCACCTCAACAACCAGTCACTCTTGTTGCATAGAGAAAACTAGCAGCATTCTGTTGGAATGTCACTATTCACATCCAAGGGGCTATTACATTGTGTGACAGTAGAAAACCATTCCTAGTAAAGCATGGCCGATTGAGATGAAGTAATTTTAAAGCAGATAGGGAAGGAACCATATAAGAGGCTTCAGTGGTTCAATGTAACCTTATTTTAATCAATCTTAACCCTTTAACTCCCAGAAGTGATTAACATGAAACTTCTCCCTATAATATCCACACATTAGTTAGCAAACAGGTTATGAGAATATTCAAACTCATCAGATAGAAGCTGCTATCTTAATCTAGCACCAAGTTCCCATAACTAATTTACAAGGAAATGTGCAGCAGCCAGAGGGAAGAATTGACAATCAGGTCTTGGAAGTTAAAGGGTTAAGTCAAATACGGTGTGTTGAATGCAAACAGATTCGTAAATATAGCCAACTAAAATGCAAACAATCAAAAATTCTACCACAATGTTGCAAGCTGTTACCTGAAAGTCAACATCTCCACAGAGACTGCACTGGCAGAAGGGTCCTTCAATTCTCAGGATTGTTTCTCTGTCAGCATTCTGGATTGTAAACTTAGGAATGCATATTGACCATCTAAAGATAAAATAATATTTGTGTGTACACCTTAATTCTAGTTTGCTAAAAGCTTGTGGCTAATTCTTGCTGGTGATATTTTCATGATGTCAAAGATACAGACATACTTAAAATTGAAAGAAAGGCTGTCATAACCTCTAACTATCAGATTTATTTTTATCTCAAGATGCACTTATTTCCCATAATGAGTTAAGCAAAGACCCACATAGAGCTTTTTTCAACAGTGTCAAAAGTAATATGGGATTGTTTTGATTTAGCTTGATTTCCTCCAAGATTGGTTCAGAAGACTTATTCCAGCCTTTTCACCAATCAGATTAGAAAAAACCCAGTTGTGACTAGTTCACATGAGTTTTCCCATACTTCCTGCATTTTGCTAATTTTCATTATGGGTTGATTGGCTGTTGTGATTACTGAGGTTTTGGTCCCATGATAATTCTCAATCAAAATGCCCTCTCTTTGTGAGTAAGCAATAAGTTTCTTACTCCTGAGCACAGTAGCCAAGGACTGTCCCAGGTGGTGATTGCACTTCAATCTCTTGAAGACAACAAGGAAATAAGCAAGACTGACAACGCAGAGGACGAGTCAAATGCACAATTTCCTGCTCATGATTGTCCAGGATTTTCATTTCAAAAGGTCTTCCTGGGCCACAACACTGTCGTGTACAGCAATCAGTATCTAAAACACACCAACAGAAAAATGTATCATTTATAATCTTATAATCAGAATTTATTAGATCTGAATTCTCAGAAAGAGGTGGAGTCAGGGAAAAGGGCAAAGAGATGCTGGGAAACGAAGGCCATCCATGTAAATAGTATAGTTAAAATTTTTTTTTTAATATTTAACCATGAAAAATTGAGTTAAAGGAATATAAACCATGATCTACCGAAATATAATTATTGCTCCACTCTACTTACATAAGCTTGTATAAATATTAACAAGCCTCCGTGATTCATTAGGGAAAATTTCAAGCTAATTTCCCTAAAAAATCCAGCCACTAAATTATGATTTAAAACTAATTAAGAAACTTTAATATGAAATTACACTGTACATATCAACCAAAGCGTATCAAAATAGAACAAAATTTCAAATTTTCATGCGCCTTATTCCAGATCATAATTTTAATTAAGTTAGCTCTCTGTCTCGAACTTCACCGAACAAATAACGAAAAAATGTAAAAAGTAAAATCCAGCCTAACACGCATATTTCTTATGATTTGCTATTAAAGAATGCGGAAATGTTTTCGCATGCTCATTATAAAAAACGGAAACCGCGAACACGAATAATGATGGAAAAAAAGAGTTCCGTTGAAACATGAATTAGCATGTACCGCTAAGTATCCCTTCAGTTTTTTAAAAATTAATGAGAACTGCAAACATCTTTCTGAATTAATAAGGTGTGCGTTCAATTCGTTAGTGGAATTCTGTTTTAATATATGAAGCCGCAAAATATTACTGCAAAATTGTATTATACGTGACAACTAAATGTACTCACCTTCCGCTGCGAAAAACACCTGCTGTCCCATGCTGTTCAAAATCTTGTATTTGTTGTTGGTTTCAAAGCCAGTGAAAGCTGTAAAAGTATCCAAACAAATAAATATATATTTGCATGCACATAAGTCTGAAAAGATTACTTGTAACCATGTATTCAAAGAAAAAACCAACGGAATAAACAGCCGAGTTCTAAACATTTACCTTCTAGGAGTTCGACTTGCTGTTTTATTAAAAGTTGATCTATTTGGGTTAGATATTCCAGTCCTGGAGGACAGTTCGCTGGAACTGGGGGAGGAGGCATCCATTGCATTTGTCCATAACCTGCAGGAGCTGGGGCTGCAAATCCTTCGGCAAAATAAAATAAGTTTGTAGTTTTGTAGTTTTAACACTCTATATGAGAGCTTCTGCTCACATTACATTACTAAAACAACAAACAAGTGCTTTTTAGGCGACACAATTCCGAGGTGATTCTCCATGAATCTCTTTGACAGTACATTGGAAAACCTTACGAAGTGTATTCTATATTTTGATCGAGTTTCTTCGCACTATTTTCTAATAAAATTAAATTAAACTAGGTTTAGTAATCTAGAAGGTATTTTCCTGTTTTAAGCACGGTGTAGTTTCGAGTCATCGACGAACAAATTTCGTTATCACGTATGGCGGGGTGAAGAACTTTTTTCTGAATTTGATCGCAAGCAATAGTTAATGACCTGAAAACTGATGTTAAAGAGTGACAGCCCTGATTGAAAGCAATTCAAAAAGCCGTCAAAAACTTAATTTTTTTACCAGGTTGTTGGCTAACAGGCGGTGCATAGCCAGGTTGAGTAGGAGCATATCCAGGTTGCGCCGGCGGTGGATAACCTGCTTGTGGTGGGGGATAACCACCTTGAGGTGGTGGATAACCACCTTGAAGCGGTGGATAACCTCCTTGAGGTGGTTGATAACCTCCTTGAAGTTGAGGGTTACTTTCCACAGGCGGTGGGTACCCGTAACCTGGCTGTGCCATGATGTTACAAAAGCGCTTAAACGGCTGGAAACATTCCCATGACACTCCTCTGGTCACTGTAAACAAATGTACGCACCTTACCCTATCCTAGGGAGTGAGGATCAGCGCTTTAAAAAAAAAACACTCACTTCCTGCCATGCCTATTCAATTCAGAATGTGGAGGATGAATGAAACATGAATTAATTTCGTTTTAAATTCAAAAACTAAATTTTCAACCGCACAGGGCCCGCTGTTCCTTTTTTTTCCCCAATCGTGACTAAGTTACTCGGGTAGAGTCCCTTGGGAGTGTTGTTTTGTCAACGGCAAGTTGCGCGAAGTGGCTTGTGGGCTGAAGAAGATGGCTGCCGAAACTTCGGTCGAGGAGCCACAGGACGTGACAATGGAGGAAAACACGCCGTCTAAAGATCAAGGAGTACAGAAAATGTTTACTCTCAAAAAATGGAATGCCGTAGCCATGTGGTCTTGGGATGTAGAATGCGATACGTGTGCCATTTGTCGCGTGCAAGTGATGGGTGAGTTTAGATCATGTAATTTTTAGTCTGTTTCTGAAGTTCAGCAGTCGTTTGTTTGTTTCTTTTTTTCCCAATTTTTTGCAAAAAAATTATATTATTTTTTCATCGAATTCTTTGTATTCCACATGTGTAGATGCTTGCCTCCGATGCCAGTCTGACAACAAACAAGAAGAATGCGTTGGTAAGACAGTTTATGTCGTTGAGCACTCTAACCGCTTGGGACTTGCTAACTAAACTATGAAACTAACATTATGTTCTTGAGCTCACCACTAACAGATCTCTGGTATTTCTGATTATTTATCCACACCTAAACTACTTATTCAAATAGTCGAAGAAGAGGAAAAATAGGTCCAAGGAGAATTATATTGGTATGGTTGTAACCCTTTCACTCCCAAGATCTCATTATAAATTCTCCTTACTGTCTGCCATACAATTCTCATGCTATTAGTTTGGAGTATTTACTACTGGATTAATAAATATTCCCCTAATTGATTATTTTTTTATTCCCACCTCTTGTCAGCCTGAAATTGCATTGATATTGTGTTGATAAACTCTGTCTTAGTCATGAATGGGAGTTAAGGGTTAGAGACATATCACTTTTTCATAAAAAAATTGAATATTGTTCCATGTCTTTGAAGCAGTGTTAACATTAAAGTTTCTCTTGTTTCAGTTGTGTGGGGAGAGTGCAATCACTCATTTCATAACTGCTGTATGTCACTCTGGGTAGTGCAAAATAACAGATGTCCACTCTGTCAGCAAGAGTGGATTGTCCAAAGAATTGGCAGATAACATCAAAGCAATGTAAACAGCAGGAATATTGATTAAAGAGACTTCTTGGACAATTTTTTTAAAACTGAATTCAGCATTGGAAGAATGCTAGTCTGCTTTTTAACAAAATTGCGTTTTCTTGGTCATCAAATTGTGTTAACAATGTCTGAATTCCTTAGGGTAATTTAGTGTTATCAACTTGGTTGAATATGTAAATTGGCCATCATGAGGATTTAGAAGGCTGAAGTTTCAAGCATTAGCCTTTCATCAGAGTAATTGGAGGAATTGTGGGTTGTGTGTGAGTTTATATACAAAAAATGCAGCTAAGCTATCAGTAGGGATGTGGTGACGAGAAAACAAGAATAAATTATTTGAATGAAAAGTGTTCATTGATACCGCAGGGATTAAGAGTGCCACTTTGGAAGATAAATTTTTGTTCTTGAGTTTTGTGGCTTTCTAAACTGCCTAGATGTAAGGACAGAAACCCTTTACGAATTCCTTATGATCTAACTAGATGATGAATCATTGAAAAGATAAACTTTAATTTTACTCAGTGTATGGAGATTGCAGTATGTAGAGGAAACTTATTACAAAGAATTGTCATTTCTACTTGAGAAAGTTTCTCATTATCAGAAGATTTCCAGTCTCAGAACATTGCACATTTGCCTTGCTCAATAACCCACCATAATTCTCTCCTAAATAAAGCAAGTAGTGCCAAGGCTTTGAGCAAGAGGGTGGAAAAAGTTAAAAAAACTTGTGGTGGTGTAAATGAGGCTTAAGGTGAATTTTCCGTGGCATGGCATCCATTGTTATCATCTCATTTTCACCAGGTGGCTAACTCCCATACTTCTCCTCCATCACCTTTGTAAGTCTTTTTTACCTTCAATGAAATTAACTGTACGAAATCTCTCTGCCTTAAATTAGTTGGAAACTTTGATGCAGTAAAATGTTTACAGAAGTATACAGTTTATCACTAAAGCTTTCTATATGTTGCTGTTATGTGTCTGCTTCAGATAAGTTGCATGATTCCTCAGAGTTCTCTCTTACTTGGTGTAAGAAATGTTTGAAGGATTTTCTCCCTTACAGAAAATATTACAGAACTATACTGGGAATTTAGGGGTAAAAAAAAAATGTTCAGTGGAGTGTAGGGAATATTACTGTTAACAACCCTTCAACACCTAGAATCTAACTGTTAATTCCCACCTCTAGCTGTTGTACATGCCCTGGTAAACTGGATACAAGAATTTGTGTTAGTTCAAGATAACTTCTACTCAACAAATTTGAGTATTCTCATTACCATTTTGCAGAATAATGTATGTATATTGTAGGGAGAAGTTACTCATTTATCACCTCTAGGAGTTTAGGGGTTAAAAGAATTAATTTTATTCAGTGTGTATGTTATTTATTTAGTGTGTAGAAATCATGAAACAGACAAAAGTGATAGAAAATGTTGGTTTACTTCCATTCACAACCACAATACTTTTTCACAGTATTCACAGAGATAATAATATTTTAGTTTACATTGCGAAAAGAGATTATTAACTAAAAGCATTGATTTTGCTAAAAATTTACACTCTACATTTTTACCTCTTGTTTGTAGAATATGGGATAAAGAGAAAGGGTTTGTTTAATATAGGAAGATATGCCATCCAACTACTTAACAATATCATAACAAGAAAATTGGTATGAAAATATTAGTCTGGTCACCATTATATACACCCTGAGTACATATCACTGCCTTGACAGTTGTCTAGCAAGTGAAACTTGAGGAGAGTCCCAAAGTGGAGGTATTTGCCTCTGTAGTTTAGCTTACATTTCAAGTGGTCAGCTCTGGAACTTTCATGAAAAACGAACAATTTTCCAGTTTCATGTAAAAATATGATTACAGGAAGCCCATTATGAAGTACTACTTATGCAAGTTAAGATCTTATCATACAGTTGTCTGCTTTCCAGTAATTCTAGGTTTTGCATACTCTACAAATTCATCAATTAAAACTGGCCAAGCTCCTGCAAAAAAATAAACAATACACAATCATTAAAATTTATGATATTAAAAAGACAGATTACTTATAAAAAACTGTTTTCACCTTTGAGAAGACAACTCACTAACATGGCTTAAAAACTTAAAACCTTGCTGAGAATGAAAGTGAAAACAAAGGAATCAAAGTTGAGAGATATGGGGGTGTGATTGGTAAATTTAGTATTATTTTCAGAATTACAAGCTAACAAAAAGATAATTTCCCTTAAGATCTCTACCCTACCAGCCTAGAAGTAAGTTTACAACCCTGACCATCAAAGCATTGTCATCACACTTGTTTCATTACAATATTTTGCCAGTAGAAGTAAAGTCACAAAATACAAAGGTACAAGATCTTTGTATCAAAACACAAGGAACCCTAAATAAACAATATATTCTGTTATTAAAAATTTAGCCTGTCTGATGATATGCCTCTTTTATATAAGTTAAAGCAATTTAGGTAAGTGTCAACTACCATTTTTCCAGTAAGTCATAGAGATATTCAAATATTGAAATAATCCTTGTAACACAAACCCTCTTCATCATAGTTGCCCATATCATCCTCAATCATGTTACTGAAGTCTAACAAGAGGTTCCATGTGTCCTTAGATATCGCCTTTTTGTGATGTAACTATCAAGAAAAATAAATGATTAGATTGTGATTAGAACAACAAATAGACTCCATGTTGCCAGTGACACCACATCATCAATGCATCTGTCCTCAAATAGATCATAGGTAAGAGCCAATAAAGATGTGTGCATAATTTTTGGTGCGAAGGTGATCTGCAACTGCAAAGGGTCTATACAACTTAAAAAGCCAAGAATGGTTTTACTTACCAAAAGAAACTCACACCAGATATCAAGGAATTTAAATCTTCCATTCAGAATTATATTCCAATATGCTATGGACATGTCTAAATCTAGGGGCAAAAAAAGGTTGATAAAAACATGCAGCAGAAAAATGCTGTTTACAAACTTCTGTTAACTGAGGCAAGAAAAAGAGAAAAATTGACAACACACTTGAGAAATAGAGTAAAGAGGCCAAATGAAAGCCTTGAAATGAGATATATTAGAGGCTTAAGAATGTGGGTATGTTTTCCCTAACAAAACTAAAATCACAGAATTAAAACTCTTCCAAATCAACACTTGGTTAATACCTGTAAACTTACCTAAACTCTTCTGGCCTGGATTTTTGGCGAAGTTGAATGTGAACTGGTATAAATCTTTAAATTTACCATTATCTCTAAGGTCTGCCTCCAGGCTTGGAAGTTTACTTCGGAGTTTGTCAATGGAATCACAGCTACATTAAGAAACAAGGAAAACTTGACTCTATCCTACACTTAAAAATGTATAACATAGAAATATTTATGCATCTTTTCACCCATCAGAGAAATAATTTTGAAGGTAAATGAACCCTTTCCAACCTAGCATCAGGATATCAGTATGCATATTCTCTATACTGTTCTATATACATTTCCTACAGTGCTGACAGGGAGAATTTGTCTATAAATCAGGAGCTTTGTTAGTTGGTGATTTTCCTTTATTCTCCTAACCTTAATGTGTGATATGGGGGTTATACTGTGAGGAGAAATTGGATGCTAATCACTTTTAAGGTCCAAAGGGTTAAAGATACATAGAATGGTTACCCACAAGGAGTAACCTTCCCTTACTTGGCCCTACAAAACAGGGAAAGGTTTTTGGAGTTGTGAGTGTAAACAGGGTGTAGAAAATCACTATAATTAATTATTAGGATGTTAGTTTAAATAATTTGTATCTAATCAACCAATGATCCCCTAATTTATATGTCCTTTGTTCTCAACACTTGTCTGCTTGATATTGTATTGACATTGTAAGGAGAAATTCTGAGTTCTTTGCTCATGGGAGTTACAGGGTTAAATATTTTATTCATTCTCCAGCTCACCCCAGTTCTACCATGCCATCAGTGAATTCTTTCCTTGAAAACTCGCACTGTGTTGCTGCTTTAAATTTCCAAGCTATCACAAGAACCTTGAGGCTTGCTGGATCTAACTTGAGATCTTCACAGAAACGCCCTATCCCTTCAGCCATGATTTTATCATCATCACCAGGATCTGGAGATGAAATAAAAACACATAAGAATCAAAATGCAATAAACAATGTATCCTGTAAATACCTAACTAGATACAGGAGCCGTCCAGTGGGGTAGTGATTTTAGGACTTCTCTTGGTAAAAGTATCAGTTTCAAAGATGATTCCAGGAAAGGAGAATAATATTCCCACTAGCTGAAACCTTCAGAGAGAATTTGCACATTGAAAAATGTTGAGAAATGCCATTTGGCATGTTGCACCTTGTATTCCACACAAAAGGTTATTGTATGGTAATATTACTGTGTGATTAAACTTTCAGGATTATAATTTAAATTTCCAAAATTTCCCTAACCAAAATGGTAATAAATAGAGCATAATTCATATTACAACAAATTTGGATACACTGGGCAGAAAGTAATGGACCAAAATATAACCCTGGACCTTACCCAGAAAGCATATGGCCAAAACGTAAAATTATGGAACTCATCACAAAAAGGGCAAGATCTCCTGCTAGTAAGTAATCTTGCCAGGGACTAGCTTACAAAATTTGAAATTCTCCAAGATGCACATACCTATCCTACCGTGAAAGTATCTTATCTAGTTTAAGCCCCCAGGGAAATTCCAGTCTGGCTGTAAATAACTCTTTTAAAGCATTCATAACGTAATATCCCTCACCCTTGCAGAATTTCTAGAGCCACTTTATAGGTCGGTTATAAATACTCCAAGACTCCAAAAAAATATAAGTAAAACTGAAAGGTTCTTAAAATACAACTTACAAAACGCACACCTTGTTTCAGATTTACGTATTTAGTTTACAGGTATGCACAGATTGACCTTGGAAAACGACCTACAGTAGCTAGCTTTTGTATAAGCTCACCACACCGGAAACGTTCAAATCAGAGTCAAGATTTTGAAAAAAAGAATTTCTAAAATTAAATAATCTTTCTGAAAAAATGGAATAGGGCATTACGATCATCAATAAAACATTGAATAATCCTTAAACCGGTTAACACTCTAGTGAGTACAAAAACATGTACAACAGATAGGAAGTTCATTTCATACAGATCCCTTCTCCTACCTTTGTAACGATCAAACAGGTGGGTGAGCTTTTTCTTGTCTATCAAAGGTTTCGTGTCGATGTAGTATTTCTCTGGATTCTGGAAATACAGATCTGACGCTACATCTAATCTCCAATCATTTTGGCTCAGGCAGTTTATTGCTGTCTTTTCATTCGTTTCAGTGAAGGTAATAAACTGCCTCACTTTTTCGCGCTGGGAGGACTTTAACCTGTGCTGTAAGACATAATATGAACAAAAGAAGATGTAAATTCTTTTATTATTCATCTGAAAGCTATTAAAGGTAGGATCTTCGTAACATAAAATAACAGCAAAACCCTTACCATATCCACATCACACTACCGCCCAAATCGTCCTTCGAACTAGAATCAGTGCCCGCTGTCCACGTAGGTCAGCACTCCATCCATACTCAAAAAAGATCTTAACCGGAGTACCCCTCAGTGAACTGCTTTGATTTCGTTTTAGTTTTATTTATTGTTTCTTTCATGGACGATAAACATAAGAGCTGATCCTCAAAACGAAAAAAAGACTGAAAATTAGAATAAAATTTCTTTTTGAATGTCATCGCTGAAATCATGAAAAAATATTTAATTTCTTTAGTCTCGAGCAATTTTCTACCCACTCAGCCCTTAGTCTCTAAACAAAGGCAATCTGTACTCTGTAGGACAGGGTGGGTAAAAGTATGTTCGTTCAATGTCAAGCGGCGCAAAAACGCGCTGCAATGGAGCAATACGAAACAGCGCAATATCTGGTCGACTTATAACGATGATTGCTTTGTCAATTCCTTCGTTTAGGAAGCCTAGAAATGACAAGGAATATACAGTCTACGAAATTCACATCACGAAGCGCAATGGACGTGAAGTAATAAAAGAGCGTCGCTACAGAGAATTTGACGATTTCCATAAACAAATTAGCAAAATTGTACACGAACCTCTTCAATTTCCTTCAATGAAAATACCAAAGCCTTTGAATACAAGCTCACGATTCTTGGAATCGAGGAGAGAAGCTCTGGAGAAGTACTTAAGGACAGTTTGTTCTTTTATTGGGATTAGCGAAGTTCACGACCTTCTAACGCAATTTTTAGACATTAGTTTACCGCAACACTTTCAAAATGTGGATGTGTCACGAGCAAGTTCGACTGAAGAGTTGGATGCCTATAACGATGAGGTAACGAGATTGACTCATCAGCCATTGATGTGCTTCATCAGTGATCCCTTCAAAGACAGAAATGGTAACAACCCTTTGCCAGATATTGTTTTGCAAGGCACACTCAAAGGTCTCTATGGATAAGGTATTGTCTATATTTGAGAAATCCTCTAAGTGGACAGTATTCATTTGATGATTATCAGGAGAAATTGATTTGTTCCGATGAAAGATTTAGGCCTGTGCTCATCATTGTCACTGTTTGAATTGTCTTCATTGTAGTTTGAGAGGGAGGCATGGAGAGAGGGGACCTGTCTCACTGGGAAACTTTTCAGGGTGTGTTTAAGTCTGCCATTGACTGCTGATTGCTCATCCATAGGAGCTTAAGCATAGATGTTTTTAGATGACTTTCCACATCCAAGAAGTGGCTATGCTTAACCTCTCTTTATAAAATAAATGATATACTACAAGCACCCTGATTGGTCTAAAACCTAATATCAATTGTATTGTAAACCTCTAGATATTTTATAGAAGCACCACCCACACTTTTAGTTGGTTTACCTAGCACTAACCCTCTTGGGATGTTAGGAGAAGACTTGCAAAGTTTGAGAATTACTTGCCCCTGGCTCATGATTTCCAAACTTTTCTCATATTCTCTAAACATCCCACGTGGGTTTTTACGCTGGTAAACTGATATAAAGTACAGTCTGTCTCAAGTAATTTTTGTATGTTTTAGCATATGTTGAAAAAAACAAAACACCTAATATCATGGAACAGTTGACTTGATACTAAGGATTTTCTAGGAATCGTGGTTACTCCTGATGTGGCCCATCTTTCATTTTATTTTGTGTCAGTAATTTGATATTCCACACAACATCACAGTTATTACTGTAACACATCCCAATAATATGGAGATATTTATTGTAAAAATTTAGAAAACCTGAAAAATTGGCGATGCAGATATGCCATTCTCCCAGAGCAAATATCCATGAATACCACATCAAACTCCTTCTTTCCTGCTAAATAACTAATTCAAAAAAACTTTTGGGCACCATAGAATAACAGATTTTAATGCACTTTTTTGACTTTTTAACTCTTTTTTTAGCAGTTCTTCACATATTTTTCTGCCTTTGTGAAATATTTATAAACATATAAGAAAAGAAATCCAAACACTGTTAGTTTTGCAGGCTTTTTTAAATCTTCGATAAAAATGTTATTTATGTACTTAGATTCAATTAATGACAATGTTGTAAAATGTATTCAGAGTAACAGTTTTCTTAACTGCAATAATCACAGGAAATAGTTGTTACCTTATTTATAAAGGACTTTTTAAATAAATGATTTGATTTCCATGTTGGATAGCTTCTTTCACATACTGAAGAATAAGGTTTTGTTAAGATTCCAACAAGTTTACCTGTAGGAAAAACCATTGTTTCTTCTTGTAAGTGGTGCAGGAGATTTTTTGTAACTCAAAGGTGGGAAAAACAATTTTTGACCCAGGGTATTTTAGTATTATCAACTGTGTTGATAATGTTTCAAGCCTTAGCCTTTTGTCAGAGCAATCTTAGATTGTGTGTGTTCATATGCCTGGCTTGGTATGGTTTGCTGTTCTGAATTCTGTGGATTAAAAAATTCTAAGGCATGAGTTAGTGGTTGCAGCAAATAAAAGGAAAATGAATAAAGGGGGTTAGTTTCTAACTTAAAAAAACTGTGGTACTGCATTAGTGGGAGAGTATATCACATTACTACTGTACAGTGACCAATTTACATCATCAACTCAGTTGATAATACTTAATTACCCTGTTATACTCTCGTATTAATGCAGCACCACAATTTCTTTATTCATTAATTTTTGGCCTAGTCAGTTGTCATCCACAATCTTGCCTTGACTTTCATTATTTAGTTTTCTTCGAGTGGGGAAATAGAATACCTATATCAGAGTCTTGTAAATGGATGCCCAGGCCCCCAGGAACAAATCCCACCCATTTTGACCAATATCTTATCCTTCACACACCCTGAAATGCTACATCCCATCCATCCATCCATCCATCTGGAAAGAGCAAGAGGCAACACCTTTTCAAAGCATTAAAGAACATTCTTCGATGATCACAATACTCAATGTAACTATCATTGCATATCTTTGACATTTGCTGAGGCTTCCTCCCGTCGTTAACGCAATTTTTAAAATTTTCAATCCAAACTAAACTTTACTAGCGCTCGTACTACGATGATTAGAAATCGCGGTCTCCTACATGACATACATGTTCTTCATGTCAGCGGTAAATCAGCGTCTCATGTTTCGCTAGGGCCGCCATTTTGAATTTAATTTCACATCGACTATTCTCCGGACGTTCTGAATGTAGAGGATCAAGAGATATTTAAGGAAGAACAAATTGCGGAACTATGACCACAGCAGCAAGACCGACCTGGGACACCGCAAAGGGTGGCCGAGGAAAAGGAGAGGGTGACCTCTCGGCATTATCAAAGCAGTATTCGAGTCGGGATTTACCATCACACACAAAACTAAAACACAGGTTAGGAATAAGGGCTTTCGTTACTTTTAAGGGATTCGTGCTATGTAGGGAAAAAACTGTCTGAAGGCACGCGCAAAATGGCGTTTAAATTCGGAATAAAAGAGAAAATGCGAGTGTGGGTTGTCGACAAGCAAGACCGAGAAATTCTTCTGCTGCTGATCCAAGATACTATCTTACCTGGAACCATTTTGTTGTAACATGAACAACGCAGAATGACGCTACGTATCGCGACTCCCTTAAAAGTAACGAAAGCTGGAATAAGTGACGATGGTTGTTGTAATTTACATATTTTGACTTTTCAAGGCTTCCCTAAACGCTTGTATTTTAAGACTAGAACTCCTTAGGTTGCCATTGATAATAAATCGTGCAGATGATTGTCATGGAAGTGTTGATGAAATAAAGTCGGCAAAATTTGCGAGCAAGTAGAACAAATTGATTGCGTCCCAGAGTAAAAAAAATTGTGTCGAGTGTCAAATGAGTGGCTAGTTCTGGCCCCAGTGCAAACTGAGTGTTTTACATTACAGTGTATTATCGTTAGTGCTGAACTTGACCAAATATACTTACAGAGGAAATCCTTGTGTTGTGTTTTTTTCAATACTTGTGGTAGCCTTAAAGTGGACCCCTTCCACCTTAATGAAATAACATCATTACTTTTTTTAATAATACTAATATTACCAATCAACAGGCAAACAGGTCAAGACACTGTTGAAGAGGTCCGCAGCAGAGACTTCCGCAAAGATTTGGAAGAGAATGAACGTCAAGCAGCACGTGAGCGTGTTAAGGAGAAAGGAATCAAATCAGCAGTTGAACAACCAAAGAAACCTCGACTTGATCAACCACCTCCCTCAAATCTAGATGCAGATGATCCAGTTGATGACGATGATGACGATGATGACGATGAAAGGTGTTATGTTTTTACATGTCATTGACCTTCATATTTTGTTGAGCAGACAATGAACATTTTTTGACTTTAAAGATCACACAGGACTTTGAGAAAAGAATTTCAAACAACATTGTACTTTCCATAATTACATGTAGAGACTCATTAGTTCATGTTGTAGGTTGTTTAAGAAAATATTTACAAATAGTTTATAAATTCGCATCTTTTTCCTAATCAATGGCATACAGTGATGATGAAGATGACACAGCAGAACTTCTCGCTGAGCTGCAAAGAATAAAAAAAGAAAGAGCCCAAGAGGAAGCCAAAAAGGTTTGATTTACTATTGATTACCCTGCCCTTTCTTTTTTTTCTCTTTTTGTACATAAAATAGTAAGTTGAAGGTGTCCTGTCTGGGACATTCAGTAATTAAAGTAAAGCATGATTAGTAGCAGAGGTGTGGTGACTAGTAGGTGTGGTAATGTGATTAGTAGCCATGCTGTGTCAAAATATGATATACACTGTATTTACACAGTAATTTGAAGGTTTCCTGTTCTGAGCATTCAGTAAGGAAAACAAAGTGTGATTAGTAGCTGAGGTGTGAAAAAACTAGACAGCTTTGGGTCAAGTGGTGTAATTGATATACTTTTTAAGAGTTTGTACTTCTCAGTGTTATCTTACATAATGGCCATGTGTTGTATGACAGGAGAGAGAAAAGAAAGAAGAAGAGGAAAAAATAAGAATGGAAAATATTATGACTGGAAATCCCTTACTCAACACACAAAACAATTTCAAAGTGAAGAGAAGGTATTAAGTAGTAATGATAAAATGATCTTGTTGGTACTGAATTTCTTTAGCTCAATTGTTTGGCTCATTTGTATACATTGTTAGTTTGTTCTTTGAAATCACCATTTCCTTTGTTGAGCCTAATGCTATCATATTCATTTTCAAATATTAAGATGGGATGATGATGTTGTATTCAAGAATTGTGCCAAAGGAGAGGATGGAAAAAAGAAGGTGAGATGAACCTCTGGAAATGCTTTGTCCTCATGACTGACAACACTTTTTCAGTAACTACCTCCTCTGCTGTACAGTTCCCTCTAAATTACCTGAGTTAATTTGGTATCATCAAACTAACAATCCCTACATGTAGGTGATGGGGTATTCAATTCTTGTCATCTTTTTTTTCTGGATTATAGAGAGAGATATTTGTTGAAAAGAAGTGTAATTATTATATAGTACACATGTAGCCCTTCTTCAGTGAGAACATTCAATAAGTGCAAGAGTACTCTTTGATATTCTCCTCAAAGTTCTTTTCAATACAGCAATAGTGAAGCTCAATTAACTTCTTGCTTGAGAGCCTCTGACTTGGGTATAGAGAAATCATGGACTCACTGTTGTGGACCCAGCTGCAGAAGGAGTGGATAACACTATCCAACAGATAAATCGTTGATTGCAAACATATAGCTTTGTCCATCAAGTAAGGATTCATCCAGTGGATAGCATTATCCAACCTTTGAACCACTGGGGTCTGGATTATAAACTCTTTTCTTTGTATAATTATTGTGCTTTACATAAAGAGCTATTGTAATTATGATTTTTATTTTTGTTCTTGTTTGTCCTTATACAGGAACAACACTTCATCAATGACACCTTACGTTCAGAATTCCACAAGAAGTTCATGCAAAAATATGTTAAATAATGAAAAGATTTGACTGCTGTCTAGACAACTCTGCATGCAGGCATCCTATTCTGGTCATAGTAGAATGATGTGTAGCAACCCTTATTAGAGAGAACTTTGCTTTCCAAGAACTGAGAATGCTTTTATTGCAACCAGGGAAACTTGGGTTCATTGATCTCTGATATATGTTCCAGTTCACATCTTAAGATGGTTTCATCTAACATCCCCACATGGAAGGAGAATATATCCACTTGTGACATGTCTGCTTGGGATATTTGATTGATTATAAAACAAACCATTTTTGAAAGTGTGGTGAATTGTTTTGCTGGAGCCTTTTTTTTTTGCTTTCACCTGTGTCTTAACAAAATATAGAGCAATTTCCAATGAGTGTCAAAAGTAATTTGAGATTGCTTAAGTTTTACTTTGCTTTGGTGCATGATCAGTCTGTAAAACTTGCACCATGCTAAAATCCTTGAGTCCTAATCGGCCAATGACAATGGAAAACTGTTATGATTAGCTGTTGTGATTGGTTTGGTTCTACTACAGTCATTCAATAACTGCTCTCACAAGGGGCCTGAAAAACATAGCAGTGCAAATGTGAGAATATGCAACCTTTTTGTAATTCTGTAGTTAATGTTGAAATATAGTGGTTTTTGTACTTAGAGTAGTTCTCTCTTTTACCCCCCTTTGTGTGAGTTATCATCTACTCCAGTTAATCTATTCTATAATCTCTTCTTTCTTAAACAAACCTGAAGGATTTAAATTCCATTGAAATAAAAGTATCTTTTGTTGACTTCTTAGTTGTTAACAATCATAACAATTTTATCTCAAGGTAACCAAGTTCCACCAAACTTAAACATTTAAATCTTCTTGGCCATGGAGTGTCACCCACCCTAACCAATCCTTTCCTGCTCCCCCTTGCCTCTAAATGCCAACCTTCTGGGTTAAGGCAGCATAGAAAAATTATTTCATTCATATGGATTTCATTGACAAAATTTAAATATTTGGAGTCTTTCACCATGTCTATATGACCAAAGTGGCATGTCAAGTTAAAACACAGATGTGAAAATGTGTATGTACCAGAAATACACAGACATAATAAAAGTTGATCAGAAAATAATATCTAGCCCCAGACTTAGCCATTAATAAATAACCTATTACAACCTAACATCAGTATGCATATTCTCCAAACTGTTCTCTAAACATTTCGTGAGGTGATGACAAGGAGAGTTTGGTTAACAATCACAAACTTCAATCAAGTACTTCTTCAGATGGTGATCATTTCCTTTATTCTTGTGACCTTAAAGTTTGACGCGGGGATGGTGTTGTGGGGAGAAATTGGATACTAGTAACTCGTAGAGGTTAAATGGTTAAGAGCACCTATGGGGAATTACAGACATAATGCAGAAAAAGGATGAAACAGTTTGACTACTTTTGAAGTGTTTATTCTATGAATGAAGTCAGTTTACTTGAAGTAGATGAATATTCTGAGAGCTATTTACAATTTTAAAATTTAAAGTATTGGTAGTTAAAGATGTCAGCCTTACACATTTAAATTTTCTTTTTTAACTGTTGCAGTTACATGTAGAATGTTTAGCCATAAAAAATTAACTATAAAAAATGGTGCTACATAGATATTGCGACATACATGTATACGATAAATATTACATTACCATGACAGTAAATTTGGTACTGAAAAGTAATGATGACTAAATGATCTTGCAAACATTTAGAATGTTATCCATACTTAACAAAAGAATGAAAATGCTGGCTGAAAATGAACGTATAATGTATGGGGTAAATTAATCATAAGACTTATCCAGCCCTGTGTACACTTTATTAAAAAAACATTATTGCAAAGTCCCTGTATGAGAACATATGGTATGTAATATCACAAGCAGGACTAAAAAAAGGCTTATGACCCTGAAAGAAGGTAGCTGAAACAAATATGGGAGAAAATATTCAGCCCCAATCATACAATGAAATACTTATGGGCTGATGTATGTTAGGTTAAGGGGGAAATATTTTTTCTTGGTCCATACATCATGTTCTTCAGAAAACAATTTCCCATCCAGCCCTCCTCAGTCAAGAGGTTTATTACCAGAGCATTTTTTACCCTTTCATTCCCAAGAGCCTATTTGCAATTCTCTCCTACACATTCTACAAATTTCCTTTCAACTGTTAGCAAAAATTATTAGTTGGTGTAACATCACAATATCAGCCTCTGACCCTTAAGTTTGTTACATGTTCATTACTGCTGGGAGTAAAATAGCCCAAGACAAGACACAATTTTGACTGAAATTACTTACATCTAGCTACAATACCCTGGCCTACTGCTCAATAAACTGCTTGGTAGAAGAAAACCTGGGACAAGCAAAAACCACACAACTCTTTACCACCCATATTTACAATCCATCATCATATTTACACAACTGGGTTCCAACAGATCTGCTTCATCAAAATTACCAACTTGCAATTCCATGAAAAGTTTGAAAATGTAACAACCAAACAACACAGTAACCACAAGTAAGTGTCCAAAAAAATCTTCACCTCAACAAACTGAAAACATCTTGGGAGTTTGACTTTTTAAAATGGTTCTACAGGGAAACATTTCAAAGCTAGAGATAATGGTTAAGATCAGATGGATAGCATATAGTCTATTCTAGATTTATGTACATCTCACAAAATTTATTTTTTCAACTAAACCTTCCTAAGGTGTCTTTGAAAAGCACAAAATAGGCAAAGGTGACTGGTAATCTCATCCCTACCTCGGTTGATGACCATTCCCAACGCCTTCCCTGATTATTTTTGGACACTTTACAGTCAAGGCAGGTCAAGTTCACCACGACCACTAAACCCTAACTTTCACTTTCATACATGCAAAACAAGCAAGGAGTTTTGTGGTAGACAACATTTTACAAGAACAACCACAATTTTCATGAAGCTGATTTTGACAAGTGTGTTTGTTGGATGTATCTTCAGTCTCAAGTATAGGAATGAAAGATGATTCATTCTGACTAAACCAAGGAAGTTGTAATCACTGAAAGTTACTGAACATTTACATTTAACAAGTGATTCATTCAAATTTCAAGTGATCAACTCACCAAAAAATCTTTGTTCAGAAATTAAACCCTGCAACCAAATGGTTGTGAAACTTCAACTACAACTCATGACGAGGCAAATCAAATCTTGAAAATTGTGGTTGATCTGATGTATTCAAAATCCAACATACAGCACTTATATGACCTGAAACTAATGTACTCCACAAGCACAGCTGCAGTAGTTTTAATGACAACTTTTGCTATCATGCAAAACCACTGCCTATTTTCTCTGAAATTAGCAACATCAGAGTAAACATCAAACTTCCAGAAGCCACCTACATTGTAGTTTTCGCTGTCTATTTCAAAACTTCTTAAGATCCCTGCAGATGCTCTGTACAGTCAATTTTACTGAGGAATTAACTGGACGTGCAATTCAGAGAGCAGTTGGTACCAATGTCCAAAAACAACATATACAACTCAAAAATGTAAAACAACATAACTTTTTGGTAATGGTTATAATTTCCTTGATACAGGTGTTCGTGGTAGAAAAAATATGGTAGACCCTAAGTTAGTTGAAAACAAAGATTCAAAATTTATCAACAGATAAGAGGGCAAAAACATCCACAAATTCAAAATAAATTTACATTTCAATCAAATAATTCCAGTTGGAAACCAAACACTCTAGCAATATATTTAGAGTGATTACCAAATAAATTTTTACCAACTTAGGATAAGGACTAACTAACTCTATATTTAGTCATACTATCTTATTATACATGTACAAAATGGCAATATTGTTCTAATATTTGTCTATTGCCATTGTGAAAATGGATCTATGTACTACTATAAAGCTCTAAAATACTGTCTGCTCATTTATTTTGGGGATAGAAAAATAGACCTGAGGAAAAAAAAAATCAATAAAGGGTGTTAGTGAGAGAGAACACTTTTTCATATCATTCCTGGGATGAGTGTCTTTGATTTATATGTGAGACACACTAAGCATACAACAGACCCTTTAATGCCCAGTTGGGGTTTTGCTGGAATAAAATGTTTTCAGGTGATAAAAAGAGGGGTATAACCAGTGTTCTCCTTTTCAGGCAGTAGCCGGTAACATTTACCACCTGTAGTACCTCTTAATACTGTTTAAAATTACTTGGAATTCTTGAAAATTCAACAAGTAAAAGGATTGCTTTACTGGTTTGAAAATTTATTTCACCTGTTATGCTTAAAATAAGGGAGAACACTGTATAAAGAAGAAAGCCTTTAAGAAAATAGTTATTAAAAACATTGCTTATAGGGGACAAACAACAGTTATATTCTGAATTGCTTTAGGTTACTGAGTAAGAAAAAATTTATTCAGGTTGCTCAGCTACACAAGACTCTCTTTCTTCTCTCTCTTCCTCATTAGCTCAGCAGCATCTTCATTCTAGCTATTGTTTTAAAGAACTAGCTGTACAAATAGGGAACTTTTTTCCAATGTGTTATCTAAAACCTCGCACTACTGTTTGAATCTCAAGGGTAAATTCACTATTGAAACCCCAACTGACTTATCTGCCAAACCAGAATACAGCTCTTTAACAAATTCTGAGAATTTGGCATCAATCAGGGAAAAATACTTTCCTTAACCCTTTAACTCCCAAGATCTGATTGGTAATTCTCCCCCCTCTAGCTGCTACACATTTCTTTGTAAATTAGTTATGAGAATTTAGTGTTAGATCATGATAACAAATTCTACCTGATAAGTTGGATTTTCTCATTACCTGTTTGCAGGATAATGTATGGATATCAAAAGGAGAAGTTCCATGTTAATCACTTCTAGGAGTTAAAGGGTTAAGATGTAAATCATCACTTTTTAGAGAGCTACCAGCAAATCTCCTTTACTCTGTATTTACCTCAAACCTTTAAGCCACACCCTTGGAGGTTAGAAATAGATGTAACCCTGAGGGGAATCAGGAAAAAAAAATACAAAAGAAAAATGGACAACTACATGTACCTCTTGACTTGTGCTCTTATTAATCTTGAACAGGAGAAAAGGTGAAACAAGAAGGTGAGTTTCCTAGTGTTCTTGGTAGGCTTTGGGTTGTCGATGGACCTGCCAGAGGTGATCTTGGAGGAGTGAATTTTGAACGGTACAGTGGCAAAGGTTGTCTAGGTATTTCTCCAAAGAGCATTGGAGTAGCAGTTGATGATGATGTTGAAGTGTCTGAAGCTGAAGAGCTGCCAGGATCTTCATGAATATTATTTTCCTCGTCAAAGTTTATATGCTCTGATTCAACTGGGCCATTTGGGGAACAGTTAAGTGGTGAAACATCACAGAGACGCTTTGACGGACTGACTCCAGGCTCAAAGCCTTCTGATGGCCCTAAATACAAAAATAAATTATAAAATGTATAATTAGATAAATTAACAGAATACTTAAATTTGATTTTAAGCATTGCACATGCACAGGAAGACACTTTGTCCACTATTTTCAAGACATATTGAAATATCACCACTGATTATGTTACTGTAGGAAAAAAAAAAAAAAAAAACCAAGCACATGGAGAAACGGCAATGGCAACAAACTCAATCAACATATGACACCAGGTGGCGGAATCAAACAACAGTTATCAAATCAAAATATTTGACTTTTAGGTTAACTAACACTAATTCAACTTGTTTTTATTTGAAACCAAATACAACATTCCAACAATTTATTTTCATCCTAAAAAGTAACCACATAATAAAATGAATATTGAGACATCTGATGCATTGTGCAGTTACTTCATAACAAAATCAATAAATCAAAAAAATTTATAAATATCCCATAGTCATCAACATCATGGTATGTTAACCTACATTTTCTTTTCAGTGTCAAGGTACTTGGCTTAAAATAAACAGGACTGAGACTTCTGCGCCTGCAATTTGGTATAAAAAATTAATGCACATTAAGTTCCATATCATACAAAATATAGAAGTGACAAAAAATCAAACTTCATTGCTCTTTAAGCTTACATAAATGTTGTTCTAGTAGGACTTGGTATAGGACTTGGAGTAAGACTTCTGCCTTTCATTGCCTATACACAAAAAAGAATTGTTTTCATGCAAAATTAAAAAACTTTATGTACATTATAATCACACAAGAAAACTACAGGTACATTATAATCAGACAAGAACTGGTTTAGATATACAGTTACGTAAATCATAGTCAAGACATTGACCAATTTTTCATTCCACATTCAAAACTAGAGAAGAGCAGCTTTTCATGTAGAATTTGTAGAGAGTTTCACATGATAACTACAGTTTACTAAGAGTGCAATTCTTAGGCCTTTTGTAACAACTGCTTATTTTGACAACAATTGTAAATTTTTTATAAACACTGATCAATAAAATATATTACTTTTCCATTATATCAACAATTAAGTACAGTAGTTTTTTCAGAAATCAAGTGCTCAGTCCAATCTCAGAGTGATTGGAGCATTCATTACTTAGAAACACAAATCCTGAATATTTTGTTTACATTAAACTTCAATGGTGTGATGATGTACTATGACTGTCAAGGTAAGAGCAGTCATGGAAACAACCACTGTCATTCAAAACAACTGCCATAAAATAGATTCTTGACTCTTATTATGAATTCTGCACAAACCATTGAAACATCAGCTTCCCTTTTCAGGACAACTCTACCCTGAACAATCAAGCTAAATGATTTATTTATACTCTGCTTAATGTGTGTCATTTGAATTGAAACATTATCTTAGATTCTGACCTTCTGATTGTTTGTTGGTGATGATGATAAAGATGATGGCGAAGGGAATGGATGCCTGTGGTCATCAAAGGAGTTTCGTCGTTCATGCATATCTGCATCATGGTTTTTATCATGATCCTGTAACAAAGAAGTAAAATAAATATAGTCAGTTTTTTTAAAAGAGAAATTATCCTACAGAAGTGTAAAAGCTTTCCCAACTATGATCAATGCATTTCATCCTCAAGGAGTAACTCTATTTCTATACTAATCAAAACTATCAGAAAATTCTCGAACATGATTGGTCATCATCTGGTAATGAGACTTTGTGTTGTCTGATTCTGTCTGTAATCATACTTGTGATTAACAAGTCGACTCCCACTCCGTGGTCATCCAATTTTGTTAATCACTGGTATGATTACAGACCAAGTTGGACTCCACTTAGTCCTAGTTTCATGATTTGTCCCATTACTACTTCACAGAAATGAGAACCAGGATCAGTCAATAGACTTTCATTACATGAGCTATCATGCTCTCCAGAAAAATCACTGGAGACTTAACTTTCTTTGATATTTTTTTTGGTTTCAGGCCCCATGCAATACCTTAAGCTATCAGATTTTAAATTCCCCCATTAGAAAAGCTCAAACATCAGGCAAAAATAACAGCGAGCTGTTCAGAATCATTCAAGTATTTTATTATTTCAACATGCAGTCACATCAATATTAAAGAACAAAAAAAGAGATAAAATAATACACATTCTAAAAAGAAAACTTTGTCTCTTCTCACAAGACTCACCATTAAAGTCATATGATCATGCATTCCAATTGTAAGAGATAGTTCACTGTGAAAATATGCAAAACAAATTGTAATACTGGCACTAGTTTGGAAAGCATTCCATCTTTTGTCTGAAACTTATCATTACAAAAACAGTCATTATTTTCTCTTAAATTATTCAAATTAAAGAAATAACATGTGAGTCTGGAGCAAAAATTAAATATTGACCTTGATTCCACAATTTCCCTCATCCAAAAAAAGAGATGAAAATCCATAAAAAACTGACTGACTCCTTAGAAAACCTGTCATGTACAGGTTAAATTGATACCCCAAGTAAAAGCTCTGTGACATGTGAGGAGAGTCTTGTAATGAAAGTCTGACCAAAACATCCATTATTTTCCAGCACATATCATCATGTGTGAGATAAAATCAGTTTTCCAATAATTTGTTCATTTTACTGATACTCTCACAAATGTCTTATAATTTCAAAATCAGGTAAACAAATCAGAGACATTACAATTTCATTAAGAAAAGTATTGCAACTGCAGAGGCAGAAAATTGCTGTTGCAGTGAAATTCTAAACATTTTGACACAACCCTGTGCCAATGCACACAATTAGATTTGCACCAAGGTGGTCTAGGCTACAGAAAGGAATGCAAAAACTTTAAACCGGACATAAATAATTTATAAACATTGAAGAAGTCAATTACTTGTAAAATGTAAATGAAATGATTTCAGTAACATAAACTTTATTTCAAAGCCTTTATCGTCATCAACTTTTTTCAATTTTTGAAGCTTTTCATATTTTGTCGAAAATAACGAATGATGAGTCTGCCTTGTATCCGATAGGACTTAGTAGCATTTGGGATAAATACAGTATAAATGAAATTTAATGAGGAGCACTATCTAAATGAATTTCATGGATATAACCTACTTCTTAGCAACTGAATCTCAAAATCTGACGAGCATAGTAAAAGAATAGACGACATGAAAAGTCGCCGCATTGTAAATAATACTGCAAGTTAGCTGTTATCTCAAATTCCTCGCTAATCTCGCGTAAGTTAAGCATCAATGGATATGACACAAATACAACATACAAACAAGCGCTTCGGTAACGAACTGGAAAAACTGCTCAAAAGAGAAGTACACATCTCCTTCTGTGAGGTTATTTAATATACATAAACATAACTTTATGAAAACAAATTAAAACAGTTTAGCTGCCAAGCAATTACTTACTCTGCGACTTACCTTTCAATTTGTCTTTCCCGACTTGCCTCGTCCATACTTTCAAGTTCTTCCTATAAAAGTTACAAAGAAAGACGATGATTTTCTCCTCGCATTTTTACGATTAGTGCTCAAGCAAAACCTTTTTTATGAAAATACAAATGCTAGAATATACAGCATCATTTATAGAGAATGTATTAATTTAGGACTCAGCATGAATTGATAAAAAGACAAAGTACAGAGTGCTACCAGAAATTATTCCAAAAAACTAAACACAAAAAAATACCCTTTTGATCTGTGCTATTCTTGACGCAGGAGATCCCTGAAAAAATAATTATAGCAGAAGAGAACATATAGGTGCTTAGAACTGGAAAATAGTGCCAAAAAGAAGCAATTCTTTCTTGACATTTGTTCGCGGAATTTTTACTTACAATGTTCACAGCCATTTGACTGGTCGAAAATCGACGCTGCCTTGCGGTCTGCAGTGGTTGAAATATAGGGATGGCCTCACTCACTACAGCAGCGCTCACATTCGGTGCTGAATTCGATCTTCGCAGCGTACTTGAAGGTAAATGGCCTAAGTCATCGGTTTCCATTGCATTAGCCGCCATATTGCTTTACGGCTCTCAAAGACAACATCTGGAAGCGCGCAAGGGATTGTTCCGGTTTACCGCTTCCGCTCGCGCCAGTCTCAACTTCCTGTCCATTGATTGTCCTAGGTGCAGGAAATCAAAAAAAAAGAAGGCCAAGCTGAAGCATCCTAAAAAGTGCAAATCTAAAGTAGGAGATCGCTCTATTTCCTATGCTACCCGAGGTTACCATGTCCACAGTGTTAGCGTGGACTCCACCTACAAATCTTCGCTCTTATTGCCCAGTGATGGGTTGCAATTCATCGAAAACCTGTGCTCGTGCACGATTGGTCTAAACATGTCACTTGACCGCTATGCCTCGGCTAGAATTGGGCCGGCATCTCAGCATATGTCAGCATCACGAAGGTCTGTAAATGAAAAATAATGCAGTTATTACCCATCACTCCCCGTCATAACTGATCATTTTCCATCATTTGAAACCATTCAGAAAAAGTTGAAACATTCACCCCTTTATCAAGCACACTTATCCGTCAATTCTCGTCACTAAGTATATTTTGTCGTCATTAAACACAATATTCACTGACATCAAACGCATTTTACCAACTTAGGGTATCAATTGCCGACGTTAGACGTCATCCGCCGTCACTGGACATGATTCGCCGCCATTGAACATCAATTTCCGTCACTGGACATCATTACTCGACATCATACGCTGTCACTAGAAATGAATTACCGTTGTTAAATATTATTTACCGTCATAAGACCACATCTGCCGTCACTAGACGTCGTTTGTCGTCAGAAGACTTAACTTACCTTCATTATATATCATTGACCGTCCTTAGACATCATCCTCCATCATTTACAAACCATTCCCAATCGTCAGACATCATTCCCAGTCATTTCCCATCATTCAACATCATTCTTAAGAATCCTTTATTGTCATGAAAGATCATTCACCATCGTTTGACATCAATCACTGTCACTGGACATCAATTTACGTCATTAACTTGGGAAAAAGACTCGTGACGGGAGGGGGGGGGGGGGGGGGGGGGGAGAGAGAGAAATTCTAAGGATAGCAAATGATGTTCAGTAACAGGGAATGATACCTAATGACAGTGAAATATGTCTATATTGACGGGGAGTAATGTCTATTGATGGGATATCAAGAACATCTAGGGCGGAATGCTGTTTAAGGACAGGAGTCATGCCTGGTAAGTTATGTCTAGAGACGGTGAAGGAACTCTGATGACAGAAAAAAAAAGGCTTATAACAGTGTTTGATGTCCAGTGACCCTGTAAAAGAAGTTAATGACGGCGAATGATAGCAAATGACGATATTTTTTAAAAATATTGACGGTTAGGGAAGTCTGATGATGGGTAACGTTACCTAGAGACAAGGCCGGAGAGAACAAATCAAGGGACTGAGATAGAGATGCTGCTGCAAAACCATCTTAAAAATCGTTGAAGACCTAAACAGACTGCAAGCGGTCGTACTTCATAAAAAACCGGTTAAAGCGACACGACATATTCAAAAGTGGAGGTTAAAATGTAGGTAGGACATTGTACTTGTCTTGTTAAGTTTCCTAGAAAATATGAAAATTCCTTTTAATTTGTTGCTGCCGAGGAAAATGCCTCGGAAGTAGGCCATAGGAAGTGGTTTCTAGAAAAAAAAAAAAAAAAAACATATTCCGGCTGTAATTGTCAACTTCACGCCAAGGGCTGCAAAGTATGATGTACCAAAACTCAGCTCAAACGCTATCAATTTGGTTATGAAAGATGTACAATATCAGTTTTTAAGCATTTTTTTTTTTCATTTTGACCTCTTTCTTGGGAAAAAAAAAGACAAATCTGTTATGTAAGTGCATTTCTATTCAAGAAAATAACTACACAAAAAAAAAAACCGGTTCCAAGATTAATAAACCTTCACGGTATTAAGAGATTGTCCAAAATTACAACACCAGTTTTCGATTAAATCATAACCACTAAAGGACAAAAATCTACTATTAAATGGTTAGAAAGCAATAACTGAGTTCTATTTATGAACGTCGTTGTGAGCAGGACAAGCTCTCTTTGATTTTCAGTTCTGTATATGTGCAAATGGTACCACGTCTTCATCGCACAAACTGCCTACCTTCTCGAAGTTATTTCAAAACGCAAGTCATCTTTTAATCTATTTTCTCTCAACCGATCGTCTTGCAAATGCAGGTATGGTGAAATAATCGAAAGAACATGATTTTGATCTAATTTTGGTTACATTAGCGAGCTTACCTACCTACCAAAGATAATATGTTTTAAGTCTTCGCGATCTGTCTTCGTTTAAGCTTTAGCCCTCTTCTTTAAGGGCTTTAGGAATAAACTAGCAGCTCCTCTCTTACTACACTTACTTTGCAGAAAATTTACGAGCATAAAAAGCCAAATTGCATTTAAAGATTGCTCTACGCGAATGCCGGCTTCCGCGACCCACTTTGGTACTTTCGTATGCTTTTAATTACATCTAAACCACTATTTCATTTCTCAGTTAAAGAAATATCAACAGCTACCTTGATCGTCTTATACCTTATCTTAAACATTAAACGTTGTCTTCGTTGACTTCCTCATTAACCGACATTCCCTCGGGATTTTTATGCAGGTTAGGCGACGCTTCGGTACCCGAGGACACGTTGTCTTCGTTGACTTCCTCATTAACCGACATTCCCTCGGGATTTTCATGCAGGTTAGGCGACGCTTTGGTACCCGAGGACACGCTGTCTTCGTTCCGGGTAACAACTGGAGTGATCGAAGTCTCTACTTCCTCTTTAACCAACACTAACGGTGTTTCGTCACACGTAATTCCCTCAGGATTTTCATGCAAGTTAGGCGATGCTTCTGTACCACCACTCTGATTTTTACTTTCGTCATATTGTTCTTCAAGTAGTTCTTCTCTGGTTAAGGCTTTCTCCACCATATCGCCGGCGGTATCATTCGCTTCTTCATCAGGCGCGTTGTCATTTAATGAATGATTCTTTACATTGATTTCCTCTGACTGCTGTTCACTTTCAAGTCCCCCTAGCTTTAAGGAACCAAAGGTGAATGGAACTCCTGAGCTTGGATTCGATGTTTGCTTCGAACCCCCGAAAATAAAAGCTGGATTTGTAACACCTCCTTGGTTTGTTCCATCGGAGCCAAACGTAAAGCGTCCACCAGAGGATGAAGCTTCAGATCCAAGTGCAAATAAAGGTTTGGTTCCTTCCTTTTGGCCTTGACTTGGTTCTGCTCCTCCTTTCACACTTCCACAAGCTGCACAAGCCACTTTATCGCTATCGTTGTTCACCATGCAGATGCTACATTCCCACGATCCCTCAGTTGGTTTAAACTTAGCTACAAGATCTTCTTTGGCATCTGTGGACTTCGGTTGTACTCCTGACTCCATCAGTGTCGAGTTCTTTAGCATTTCTTGGCATTCCTCAAACTTCTCCTTGAACTGCTTGGCGATGTCTTCTGATTTAAACCTCACAGCAAGTTGTTCAGCTCTACATTCCTGCTCTGAAAAATCTGCCATCGTGCTCCATACCCACGATTTCTCTGAACCTGCATTAGGCTTTAGTTTCATTTCAGCGGTTACCTGGTGATTGGCGCAGATTTTCAGCACTTGATCCCGCCGCATTAGAACTCTTATCTTTCCACTTCGCCTATTTTTCAAAAGCTTTATATCTCCAACTCCTCGTTCTTTCCACTGCTTGTCCTCTGCCACAAAACGATATAGCTTTGCCCTGTGGGAGAACATGACTTCTTCATCCTCTTCCCCTGTTTTAACATCGATCTTTTCAGGTAGAGGGATTATTGGCTCAAAGTGTGGTCCTTCATTATCCTCTTCCGTTGTCGACTCATCACGGTCTGCAGAATGTGGGGTTGTGAATAGTTTGGTGCCTGATCCCGGAAACCCAGACGGGGAATTACCGGAAGTTGGTTTCTTCCCAAATGGACTGTTGCTCAGAGACGAACTGGCGATTGACTGGAATGACAATGACGATACGTTAGGAGAACCAAATAGGAACTTTTGCTCCTTGTTTGGCAAAGTATCTTTTGTGTCTTGCATGGCAGGTGCCGAGTCCTTGTCACTGTAGAAGGAAAAAAAGTAAAATTGTGTTAATTTTTGGATTTATAATTTCGATAGTACCTATAACAACAATTTTATTAGGATCAGTTATCATTACATGTACCTTCAATTTTGGAAGTATTATAGCTAAAAGAGCCCCTTTTGTTTTATATGGGCTACTATGTGCTCCAAAAACAAAACATAACACAAAAACAGCCATCACCAGTAAGGTCTCGGACTTCGATTCCCATTCATCAGTTCCATGGGTCAGCGTTTAGCCCCGTTTCCCTGACGCAGAGCGAGGACATCAATGCTAAAAACTTTGGAAAACATGGACAATTCACTTTGTGCACCCCATTTGAATTAAAACCTGCGCCTCTCTCTGTTTTCCCAGTTTATTTATCTCGGAACTTTTTTAGAGCTACTTGATTACCATCTAAATACTTTGCCAAAAACAGCTCGCACAACTGACCTTTCCAAGGTTGAGCTATCCTCTTTTGTGCCAACTTCTTCCACTTGAGCTTTTTCTTTGACATCTACCCCTTCTTGAATATTCTGGTTTTGATCATCCTTAGTATCATCAGCTCCTTCATTGTCTGCTGGGTCAGTCAAGGAACCAGCTTTAGGGTTTCTTTTAGTCTCCTGTTCGCTCAAATTTTCTCCTTGATCTATGGAGCCAAAACTAAATGCAACTCCAGAGCTTGGGGTGGAAGTCTGGTTCTGGCTGCCAAAAGTGAAAACTGGTTTTGAATCGCCTTGACTTGTTCCACCAGAGCCGAATGAGAAGACTCCGCCAGATGACGAAGAACCAAACCCAAATGGAAAAAGTGATTTTGAATCTTGCTTTTGTTCTTTAATGACTTCTACTCCTGACTTTACGCTTCCACAAGCTGCACATTCAACTTTATCTCTTTCGTTGTTCACCATACAAATCTCACACTCCCATGATCCTTCTGCAGGTTGAAACTTCGTCATGACGTCTTTTCTGGCATCCTCATTTATTCTCTCTTCTTTGGCCAGGTTAGCTGATGATTGGTTTTCCGAAAGTTCTTGGCCGTCGTGGTCATCTTTGGAGTCATCAGCTTCCTCAACAGGCTTTTGTTCATTAAATAAAGAAAGATTGCCATTGGTGTACTCTGTCTGCTGTTCACTTCCAGGTCCTGCTTGTTTTAAGGAACCAAAGGTGAATGAAAATCCTGAGCTTGGATTTGATTTTTGGTTCGAGCTACCAAAAGTGAAAACTGGTTTGGTATCACCCTCTTGACTTGATCCTCCAGAGCCAAACATAAAGCCTCCACCAGAGGATGAAAGACTAGAGCCACCAAATAAAAACGACGCATTAGCTTCTTTCTTTTGGCCTTGACTTGGTTCTGCTCCCGGTTTTACATTTCCACAAGCTGAACACTGCACTTTATCACTATCGTTGTTTACCATACAGTCGCTACATTCCCATGATCCCTCAGCTGGTTTAAACTTGGTCACGAGATCTTCTTTGGCATCTGTAGTTTTGGGTGTTACTTGAAGCTTCATTGGTGTTTCGTTCCTCAGCATTCCCTGACATTCTTCAAACTTCTCCTTGAACAGCTTGGCGGTGTCTTCTGATTTAAATCTCACAGCAAGTTGTTCAGCTTTACATTCGCCCTCTGAAAAATCTGCCATTGTGCTCCACACCCACGATCTATCTGAACCTGCGTTCGGCTGTAGTTTCATTTCAGCGGTTATCTGGTGATTTGCGCATATTTTAAGCACCTGATCCCGCCGCATCAGAACTCTCATCTTTCCACTTTGTCTATTTTTCAAAAGCTTTATATCCCCAACTCCTCGCTCCTTCCACTGCTTGTCCTCAGCAGCAAAACGATAAAGCTTGGTTCGATGAGAAAAAATTACCTCTTCATCTTCTTCACCAGTTTTAACATCGATCTTTTCAGGAAGAGGAATAATTGGCTCAAAGTGTGGTCCATCATGGTTACCATCCCCTGCTTCGTCATCTTCGTCTGCATTTTGGGAGGCAAACAGCTGTGACCCAGCTCCTGAAAAACCACCAAACGTACCTTGCGTCTTCTGTCCAAAAGGACTGCTTCCCAGTGAAGATGCAACGATGGATTGAAAGGTCAAAGACGACACACTTGCAGAGCCAAAAAGAAAGCCTGTCTTGTTTGAGGTCGAGGTGGAACTTCCCTCGGGAATGGGATCACTTGTCGGCTGGTCTGACTGCCTGTTAATTCAATATCGCAGTGTGTTATATGAAGTTCAGACATATATACATTAACGTAACTTGGAAAGATCGAGATATCGATGCTGCATAACTATATCAATTCCACTACACCAACATAGGGTTACTCACCTCGCATCAGTTTCCGACAGATCAGAGCTGACTTCAGGCGCCGAACATTCATATCCGAAGAAGTTACTTGGCAATTGAAGCCGTTTGGCTTTCTCCTTTAGATCAGCCGTTACTCCTTTCTCGAATATTATCATGACATCTTCTTCAGGTTTTTCCGATGTTCTTGAGTCCGGAGGCTTGCTCTCTGGTTTTGATAAGGATGGACCCTTCT